TCATACTAGGCCTAACATTTCTTTTTCAGTGAGCCTAGTGAGCCAAATTTCGAACAACTCCATTGATGCGCGCATGGATACAATTATGAGAATTTTAAGATATTTAAAAATAACACCAAGAAACGATTATTTTCCAAAAAAAACATAAAAAAAAATAAGTTTTCACAAATGTTGATTAAAAGCGATCAATGACTAACCAAAAGGTCTACCTATAGATATTGTACATTCATACAGGGTAATCTAATGACCTTAAAAAGTAAGAAGTAACAAGACTTTGCCAGCAGTGCTGAAGCAAAAAGTAGAAGTATGGCCCATGGGATTTGTTGCAACGATTCTTTAATGAGTTGTCTATTTACGTAAAAGAACATATCATATTATTATATAACAAGTTGAAGTATTGTTAAAAATCTTGTTAAGCATGACATAAATCAAGCATGTAGAAGTTGATCATCACTTCATGAAGAGAAAGATGACCTTTGAATTATCTCTCTTATTCGCTCTCTAACTCGTCTATAATAAGTTGGCATACAAGTGGATATTTCATATCAACCCACTGGACCAATTACAAGAACAAGAGCAAAAACCCAAGCTAGTAAAAAACCCATGAACAAGAGTCAATTTCAAAGCCCATGCCCAGGACTATGACGGAATTATTTAAATGTAATTTTATTTTTATTTTTTGTATTTTTAAAATAACATTTGAACTACATATGGTCGTCCAGCTTAATGTAGGAGTATAGAAAAAAAAAAAGCTTTAATGAACATATTGGAAATCTCCTCCATTAAGGGATAAATCCCCTCCAATTTTTCCCTCCAAAATAAGAAAGCTTAGGTCATTTTTTTGCTTATAAATAAGAGATCATATATGATGAAATTTTCATTATCGAATGTGTTAAAATCCAGCTATCGAAATCCAGCCGTTCATAGTGCAAAGGATCCGACGGACACAAAGATCAATCCGTGGGATACTCTCATGGATTACGCCATAATGGGGGACGTATTTAGGAAAGATTTTTATGTATTATTTATGTATTAATTATGCAATTTATTATTTCCTCATTAGGATGTCTTGTATAGATCTATAAATAGGGAAGATTGTAATGAATAATTTCAAGCTTTTCCCTCTCAAATTCTCCGTTTTAACAGAATGATATATTTTGGAAGAGAATTAAGATTCATTTGCTTGTGCTTTATGGCTTCAAGAGTTAGCCTTCTCCTTAGAAAGGCTGGGTGATTATCTTTTTATCTTAAATCATTCTATTCCTCTTCTCTAAACACTTAATCTCCACCTTTCTACCGCCTTCTCCATATACTAAGCCTCCAAGACTAGCCGCCACCCAATCCAAAAAAATTAAACCCCATCAGTAGTTATCGGCCATCATTTAAACTCCACCACACTTTATCATCTAATCCAAACAATTAGTGATGTGAAACATAGTTGGAATTGCAGGAATTTAATAAAATTTGGTTAAGCTTCCTAATTTTAAACTTAATATTTCACCGGATTATATTCTAGGATTTCTTAGTTGTAGTTCTGCTTTGGCAGGCAATTATAAGAAAGATTAATATGACAATTTAAAATAACAACAAATTTATAGTGAGTCTAAAGGCATAAACAACAGAAATCCACTGTTTAACAAATAGAAATTTTACCTTGAGTTTCCCTCACCTTCACTCTTGAGGTGGTTTTAACGGAAGAAGGGCTTGGGGGTTTCGGCCAAGACTAGGAGAGACCCCTTTAATTTCAAGTTTAGGTTTAGGGAGGCGTAGGGGTGTCAATATTTGACACGACCCGAAAATCCGACTCGAACCCGACTCAAAAATTATGGGTTATGGTCAACCCGAACCCAAAACGGGTCGGGTTCGTGTTCAATAATTCAACCCCTTTCAAAAATCGAGTCTGGTTTGGGTTGACCCTTCAACCCCAAAATTGACTCGTTTTTTACCCAAAAACCCGGTTTTGACCTGACAACCCTAGATTGACCCATTTTTTGTTTTTTTGTTGGCACCAGGTCATTCGGGTTGACTCGGAGCCGAAGCGGGTCATGTTCGAGTCCAGAAAATCGACCCATTTGCAAAAATCGGTCGGTTCTGGTTGACCCAAATAGTGTCGAGTCAATTTTGGATTTGACCCAAACCCGACCCGTGACCCGAAATTTACACCCCTAGGGAGGGGAGAATAAATAATTCCATAATCTGAAATTTTATTTCAGATTTTAGGTTGAATTTGAATATAAGAATTCAAATTTTGAATTCTAAAACAAAAGGGGAAAGAGGGGAGGGGTAGTTATTAATTTATTCTCCTAAATTGAAGTTACAATTGAAGGGGGGAATAATTAGGAGAGAGAGAGGAGAGAGGGGGCCGGCCAAGAGAAAAGGTGAAGAGGTTGTCCGCATTCAATGAATGTGACTGGGTGCAATAAATGTTGAAATTAGAATTAATTCCAATTAATTTTAGATTTGGAGTAATTTGGGGGGTTTCCTAAAAAAAACTTACTAATTAGGAAAGTTTTTTAATTTCAAATATCAATTGAATTTAAATTAATAAACTTTTCAAATTAATAATAAGATATATTAGGAAGGTGTTTACGAGGCTAATTGAATTTGAAACAAGGGCTAGGAGGAGGAGGGGCTGGAGGCTTGAGGAGACTGAGTTAGGTTCGGTGGAGGGAGAGGGTGACGGTGAGGCTAGGGAGCCGTACAGTTGAGTGGGTATGGGAGGAGGGGCCGGCGGCTTGAGGTGGAGAGGGGAGGAGGCCGATGAATATGGATTGAGGAGAGAGGGGTGGTCGGATTTTAGGATGATGGAGAGGGTGGCCGGCGGAAGAGGATTGAAGGGGGGGTGGCCAGCAGCTTGACAAAGAGAAAAGTGTGGGAAAGAAGAAAGGGGTACAAGAAACCGAGAGCCCGGACTCTTCTGGCGGTTGTCGGGTGTTACTTTGGCCCTCTCCTAGGTTTCTCTCTTCTATCAAGAGCTCACAAAAAAACAAAAAACCAAAAGCTGAAATTTCATTCATCAATCATCCATACAATAGGGATGGTCATCATATATATAGGTCTCAAATAAAAGAAAAACACAAATACTCAAATGCCCTCGGGACTACAAAATAAACTAATCCCTCTCGGGACTACAAAATAAACTAATCCCTCTCGAGACTACAAAATAAACTTATGGTAAACTAGAACATAAGTAAAAATAAAAATACATAAATGCATCATAGATAAAGACTCTGAATCATAGCTGTCGATCTACGATTCCTCCGATGATAGACACGTCAAAATCTCCTGTTAATGTCCTCATCAATTAGTTAACATCTTAAACTAACCATCCCCCATCACTTTCAACCATTTACTTCATCAACAACACATTCCCCAAAAAGATCTTTCAAATCAGCCCAACCTAACCAAAGTTGGACTAATCTTGGAATTTCCTCCACTAAACTCATATAAACCCCTCACCTTTTCCACAACCAACTCCAAATCACATTCTTAGACATCAAACTAAAGTTTCATAGCCATTACAAACTATTTATCTCACCAAAAGGCTACCCACCACCATAACTAAAGCTCTCTTTGCGGTTTTTTTGACATTATAATCACCAAGTTGGTAATGTTAAATGTTCATTGGCAAAGTTAAAGGGTGTGTCAGAAATATAAGCAGTTTAACGCAAAATGTGGCTTGCCATATTGAATATCTGGCCAGTTAACCCAAACTGTGGCCTGCTTTTCTTGTGCCTTCACCTATTTCTGGAAACCAATAATTACACGGCTGAAATCAATCTGTGGAAGCAAATTATGACAGTAATACGTGGTTGTAAGCAAAACTTAATAGTATAATGTGATGGTGGTTACTATTAATCTCCTTGCATAGCTGGAGGTAAATATGGATGGTAACATGTTCTTGTTTACTGCCAATCTCCTCAGATTGTGCTGCTTGAATGAGGTGTATTTAATCACATACCAAAAGGGTGATTATAGCTGCCGGCAATCCCACTTTGGCTCCATTTTATGGTACTTTTCAGTACTGTTTTTACTTATTAGCTCTACCAATATCCAATTTAAATTTGATATCATGTATTATGTTATTTCATGATTAGTGTGTATTGGGTGTATCTCTTTCATTATTATGTCTTAAACTCTATATATTGTACCAGTTTTTACTAGAAGTGAATAAGAAGTGTTAGTTCCTCTTCTCCTCCTCTTCTATTCTCGATTTCTTAATGAATGAAGCTATGAACTTAGCTCATCCTAGTGAAACATCAACTTTAGCATATAAATGCCCAACACAGAAGAAGCCTAATCCTTATTTAAAATTTTGAAGAAAATGCAAGAACCTAAAATTTTATGATTTCAACAGGCACAAAATTGGAGTTCAACATTTTCTATGAACTGTACATACCAATATACCATTCAAGTAGAAGGTTGAAATTTCCAATTGATCCAAACTGCATGGCATATACAACCAGAAATGATCATACCAGTAACAATTGAGTAGTTTTGCTATCATGAAAGGAAATTTATTATCTTATAATCATGTACTGATTTGGTCTTTCGAAACAATAAATAAACCTGTCATGATAGCTTAACAAATATATCATTATTGGAAATTAATAAGCAAATATAAGAAGAGGAATGCCTGGTGTAGTCATATTCAATAATCGGTAAGACATAATAACATCTACTAGCACAAACACTTTAAAGTATTGAATTAATTGCATAATTAAAAATAAGATAAAGGAACATGCTGTAAGACTGGAAGAAATATGGTGATAGTATAATTCTAACAACAACAACAACATCAAGCCTTTATCCCACTACGTGGGTCGGCTACATGAATCATTTTCCTCCATTGTGTCCTATTAAAAGTCAAATTCTCGTCTAAATCTAAAAACCAGCATGCCAACAATAATACCAACAGCGATTATAGAGGACCATCAAATGCGTTCATTCTTAATTATTAGCAGCAGAAATCTTTTTAATGTGTAATTAGGACTACATACCAGGGAAGTGGGAAGGAAGTGTTGTCAGAAGAACAGAAGAGACCATCAACTGGTATCTGGAAAGCAGATTGGATTCATAATGCCCGGAATTAATTTTACCCGTTGCTATGCTCTCCTCGTATAACTGCAAAGCATGAATGAGCATAACAAGGCACTTTTCCTGGTAATTCTTTTCTGAGCACATCTCTTCCAATGATGAACAAAGTTCTTCATGAAGCTGATCAACCAGAATCTGCGGGATTTCTTAAAAAGTTGAGCAGATGTCTTGGTTTAAAAAAGGTATGTTCGTGCACAAATCTGTAAAGAAATTAACAGAAAAAGAGGAGAGAAGATAATCAATTGAAAAAAGCAAAAAATCATTCAATTAAAATTTGCTCCTAAAAAAATTTAAATGCAAAGTGATGTTATATCCAGTATTGTTAGGGAGTGAGGAAACCAAAGGGAACCTAAGTTGAACTAAATACACTATGATCAAACCTATTTTTTACCAAAAAAAATTAAGCTTACACTTGAAGGTCAATCTCATGTATTTCTACACCACATATTTTTTAAGAACTTTATTAGCAACTAAACCAAGAGCATCATGTGACTTAAAACCCCCCTCAAGTGAGAGATCTTCATATCAAGTGTCATGCATCAAAAGCCAACTCAACCGCGTGGAGGCATCGTGGAAGTCACCTGCTCTTGAACATTGCTCAACCATGGCAGATGCCAACCAAGACCCATGGGAACCGCAAACCGTATAAACCACTAGATCCTAGCTGAACCATCACCTCTCATAACTTTTATTAAGGAGAGCAAATCAAAGGGAGATCAAATTTGGACTAGATGCACCAATGATTAAACATGCATTCAACCCACAAACATATGTCTATGTAAAGTGTCAATCGGTTGTGATGAGGACATCGTCAGTGATTTCGACATGTGTACCATCGGAGACACCGGAGATCGACGGTCATGATCATGAGTTTATATTTTGAGTCATTTTATGTATTCGTTTATTTTATTTTTCAGTTTTATTGTTTTACCCTTATGGATGATCTTTTGATATTGTAGCCCTGAGGGTATTTATGTCTTTTAGTTTTGTTTCATTTTTGGCCTATTTATAGGAGGCCTGTGAGTTCATGTAAGTTTTTATTATCTATAAAGAGTCTTCTTTTGTGATCAAAAATTTGGGGCCCTCTCCCAAATTATTGATTACATCAGCCTCCACTAGAATGCCTTGTCTCCATAATTCTAGTCATAGGCATCGTTATGATAACAAGTTGGTGTAACATTACCTTCAACCATATTTCCAATGACCTCTAAACCACCTCCAGAATTGCAAATACCTCTAAACTACCTCAAGAATTGCAAATGGAATGGTCTCTCATAGGAGAATGTTGACCATAATTGTTGTATTTCTTATCAAATCAGGGATACAATTTTATATCAGAACTCAATTTGATGATTAAAACGATTTGAAGATGACAAATGGAAAAAAAAAAAAACTTGATAGCACAGCTATAATTTCCGAGAAGTAGCCATTACACATCAAACTGCTTGCTGCGGAGAACCTGAAAAATGGACTTGAAGAAGATTGACTACTGGGAGAACAATTAAATACGGTGTTGAGGTGTGAGCAGGCGAAAAGGTTGTTTTGATGGGGGATAAACTGTGAGGTGTAGTCTGGGGAACATAGCATGGCACAATGGAAGGTATTTATAACATATACTAAACGTGTCCCATTAATTGGAGGAAATAAAGCTCACCTATAGGATCAAGGGAGTGGTTCTCTGTTAGAAATTTAGATGAACTTTTTGGCCAGTGAACATCAGTTTCACACTCTGAGGAATATTAAAGTACCTATCATAGCTAAATTGAGATTGTTGATTAGTAGTACTATAACAGAATGTCTCATGGTTCGAATAGTTAAATGCACAAATTTAGAGCGTGATATTTGTAAATGAGCATGTATGTTTATCTATTATCGTAGAATCCCAATGGATTTGAATCTCTTTTTTTATCATAACCCCATTCTCATAAAACTCAATTATTTAGTCGAGCAAACAAACAGATAGGAGTATCATGAAGCACCTAAAGCACATAATACGATTAATTTTGCTGAACTTCAAGACATCAAATAAGAGAAATAAAATATAACTCTAAAAAATAAGTTTGCATTAATAGTTACAAACATATGGAACAACAGAAGAGATAAGGAACTTTATAATCTTATGAACTTCATCTAGTAGTTATTTTTCTTGGTCATGCTTTTCAAAGACCTTGCATATCACAATATTGCACGTGCATCATCTCCATGGCTTCATGATCATGATCAAAGCCTTTCAGAGCAACTTGTCCATCTTCTTGAGAAATGAGGATTCTATTACATGCTTGGCATTACCAAACAAAGCCAAATGGAAAAATAAATAAATAATAAAAACATCCTAATTCTTTCAATAGAGATCACTCAAAAAAGTATAGTTCAATTTTACATTTAAAATTAATATGCATTTTTTCTCATGTATAATAGATGGCAAGAGCTTGATAAAATACTTGATTTTGTAAATCTAATCTCAGCACATCAGAATACTTATCAAAGTGCCGCCAGAACTTCAAGACTGCTCTAGCCATAAATGTATCCTGCAGCATTAAAAAAATGATATTAAGAAAAGGGTAAGATAATTCATACTTATGCCCTAAAATATTCAAGTTTAAGTCCAATTATAGAATATTCACATAAAATGATAACTAATTCAAGTCAAGTTTCAACTTCTTTAGCAAAGGCTCCATGTAGTCTTCTTAAACATGCTTAAACAACCATGAACAAAAAGTTATCTACCCAAAACTATTTTATACAACGGCCATTTTAAGTCACAGTGAAACTATGAAGCTCAATTTAAATCATAGTAAAACCATGAAGTTTCTCACCTGGAAGCCATAAAACATCCATGTAACCATCTAAGCAGTGAATTTAGAAGGAATTCTTCTAATCCATATCGAAAAGTGGATGTGTCAAGAAAGTCCAATATATAGCACATAAAAAAGCATGACATAAAATGTTGAGGTATAAACAAATCAACGGTCAGAAGAAGAATAATATGTACGACCATGACAATAATTCATTAGAACTGGAATAAGGCATCCGATAAGCATCACCAAACGATATAGCTAACAGGAAATCCGACAGTTTATTCAATTAAAAACGATAAGGTCATATTTGAAAGATTTTTCAATGGAAGATATTTAAAAATCTTTGCTTTCATCGAAAATACAAGCAAATAAACAATAAACAAATAAATCATGCACATTCATCCATATTAGTATTTTTCTAAGAAATCAAAAGAGGGACCTATTCTTTTATCTTAGTGTATGATTTATAGCAGTCAAGGAGAGAATGAAGCTAGTTGCACGCCATACTGATGGAGAAGAATATCAATATAACAACTGGGAGCATGCATCGCATTTAAGAATTTTCACACAAATCAATGGAATGGCTTCAGCGTCCATATGAATACTCTTTGTAGGTATTTATCATTGGGGGAACCAAGAGATAGCTGAGGGTGGCCTTCAACCTCATAAATATATTTGTAAATTACATTCCATGACATCGTAATTGAGTTTATGTTGAGAGAAAATAAATTCAGAGAGAGAAAAATTCTCTCGAATTTGGGCCACTATGTCTAGTAACAAACTCAAAGCGGCGCCCAATCAGGCGAAGGGAAAATTTTTCTGAAGATTAATTAGTTTTAACAAAAAAAAAATCTCTTATAATCGCATATGCAACTTGAACAGCTTTGTTGCGAGCCCCAGAAGTCCTGGAACAGACAAAATTAAAGGGTTTTATTATTATAGTCACTCAGATGTACCTCAAGGTATTGGAGGAAGTGGTCCTCCAAGAGGGAGCGTAAGCCATTTCTGCATAGGATGGTCACCGAGCTGGCGAGCTCAGATGCGGCGGAGAGATCGCCACTCCCGCCAAGAAGGATCTCAGTGCAGGAGACGAAGGCGATCCAGCTCTGAAGGATCTCTCCAATGGTCTGCTCGCTCAAGGAATCAAGAATCGTCGGGTCGACTAGCATCGGAAATATGGCGACAAAGTTGCTGAGAGAGGCAGAAGTGGTGTGGGGAAGAAACGGGGAGCAGAGAGATGTAGAGAGCGAAAACAACGAACCCTAAACTCCAAGTTTGAATCCTTAGGGCAGCAATGCGAACAAAGTGGAGAAACCTGGACGGGAAGCCGAAGCAGGCTAGTGAACCGAATCTTATACTTACTAAAAATATAAGAATTAAGGGGTATTTTGATTTTACATACCTTATAATAGCTGATATTGAAGGGATGTAGCCCCTTCTTTAACATATTCGAAAATTGACATCCCCTTTTTTAACATATTCGAAAATTGATTTCAAGATTAATTATTTTTTTGGCTATGAAATATTTATTTTTAATTTGTCTCAGATAGTATAAATTAGATAAAAATTAGACCTGTCAATATTGGACCCGACCCGAACCCGAAGCGGGTCGGGTTCGGGTTCAGAAAACATACCCATTTGCGAATTCGGTTCGGGTTCGGGTTGACCCGAAAAACCGGGAATGACCCGAAAAATGGCCCTGGCCGAATCTGCCCGATCGCGACCCTGCCTACCCCGGCTGCACGCCTGCCCCACACGCGTCGCTCGCATCGTGTCGTTGGTCGGAGTCGCTCGCGTCGCTGCTTCGTTGGCATCGCCGCTACAGAATTTTCTTTAAAGATTGAGATAAGGCTATATCCCAATCTTCATCAGATTATAAGGTTGAGACTGAGATTAGGCCTGTCAATTTCAGGTTACGGGTCGGGTTCGGGTCCGACCCGTAACTGACCCGGCTTTATTCAGGTTCGGGTCAACCCGACCCGGTTTATAAACGGTTTGGTTTTCGAAATCTGAAACCGACCCGTATAGGTTTCGGGTCAACCCGACCCGCCCGTTTCGACGCGGTTGACCATATATACAATAATTTTAATTATAATTTAAGGGAAAAAATGAGCTGAAGTGCAAATAGCAAACTGCAAAACAGCAACTATAGAGAATTACTAATTTACAAATTACAAATCTATCATTTACTTATTTTTTTTTAGTTACAATTTAACAAACTCAATTCAATTTTTGAGAAATACTAATTTACAAAGTTTTAACATTCAAATTTACAACCTCAATCTCAATTCAGAATAATTATTTATACAATTATACATTTATATATTGAAATGCTCAAATGCTCCTCAAAATAATAGCTGTAAGAGAAATACTTAAATGCTCCTCGAAATAACAGCTTCAAATCTGCAAGCAATGACCTGCAATAAAATCAATTATATAGTTTGCAAACTCAAATATGTAAAAAAAATATATTGCTCTGCTCAGATTAAACCTTCATATTCATTAATCATTTAACCTCATAATGAGGTCATTGTGATGTATGATGTAAGTTTAATCAATATGGTCATATTGACAAATTACCATCCTAGGTGACAATTTATATTAACTTAATATATGTTCTTCAAATAAGATTATAAGATAGTATATGTTATTCTAAGTTACTAAAAATTGTCACTTGGTTGTAAATTGTAATAGTACATAAGAACTTACACTTATACGAGTCCCACTTTCATCTTAGAAGGTTAATCATCCTCGATTCATCACATATACTGTTATACATTTCTCATTTCACTTCCTTCTGGCTTCCTTGCATTTCAATTTTCAACTTCCAAAACCCGAAAGCACTCAAAGCAGCAGCCAGCAACATAACACCCGAAAAGCTAACAATAGCATTTACAGAATAATAGAATATACAAGTAGCAGTGAGCAGTCAAGCAGCTAACAACTTCACTGAACTAAAGTCTAACAGAATTTTGAACCAAAGTCCCACGCAAAGCCTCAGCCCTCAGGCCCGAGAACTGAACAAAGTAGAAGCAGCCATAAACTGAACTAAACATCATGTAGCAACGGGCTACAACAGCCAACAACTGAACTAAACAGAAGCAGCCTCAGCCCTCAGACCCGAGAAACCATATGAACCACAGCAGCATAATGCATAGAATGAAAGAAATATAAAAAAGCTAAAAAATGGTTACTGGTTACCACAATTAAAGATGACTCAGTATTCAGTAACCTACAGGACACAACCACCAATAGAAGTACATAACCACTGAAATAAAAACATATTTTACAAGCAGCAGCCAATAACTTCAGCCAAAACTACCAGTTTAGCCAACCACAACAGCAGTTCTAACATGCAACATATTAGCTCATTAACAGTTAACTGGATATAATTAAAATGTTAAACTAGAATCATCTAATAACTGAACTTTCAGTCATTTCTACATCAGTTTGGGTGACATGTAAATCAAGGATATCATTCGTAACTGCATCTAGTTCTGTGTCATGAACTACCGCAATAAAAAAAGGAATATGAGCTATATCAAGTAAAACAGAAACCATAAGTAGAAAAGAAGGTTGAAGAATAAAGCACCTTGTTCTACATACAATCAATCCTTTGAACAGACAAGTGCCCCAACAATGTCATGCTTAAGTGAACTTCGATATTGATCTAGTATTCTACCGCTATAACTGAAACTACTTTCTGATGCCACTGTATTTATGGGAATGCACAAAACATCACGAGCCATAGCAGATATAGCAGGAAACCTATATTATTGCCTTTCCAGAACTGCAAAATATCTAAATCAATCTCCATATCTAGATTTGGTTCATTCAAATATATTTCTAACTCTGAATTCTGAGGCATTCCAATCTCCGAATGAAAGGATTGAAAATCCTGTTTGGGAAGGTAATGCTTTAAAAACAAACACAAAATGTTTCAATGAATAAATAACTAGTTATACTTGTAGATGTAAATTGTGACTTAATTATACCTGAATAAATTGTGACTTAATTATACTTGTAGATGTACTTCTTGATGTTCCAACTTCAACATTTCGGGATGTACGTGTATGTTATCCTGATAATTCATTACTTGTTGAACTATAATTTCCAAATAGAGAGAATAACTTTTCTCTAACCTTCATTGGTTCCTGTTCATAATCACCTTCATATAGTCTTCTATATCACCATTTAACAAACGCAAATTTGTATCGTGGATCTAAAATGATAGTTATATAAAGTATAATAGAAAATCCAGACCAATATTTCTCAAATTTGACTATCATTTCTGCTGCCATTTTTTTATGTATTCATGTTCACTTAAGAGTTCATGTTTCAACGATGCATAAGCAATAGAAATGCAAGGAAGTATAAATTAGATGTTGAGTACTTTGATCCAGATATAACACAAGTGATCTCGTAGAAAGGAGCCAAGAATTTCCAAATAGATTCAACTTTATCTCACTCAACACTAGTTGGGCAATTCTTATAATTTGAATCACCCAATTATAAATGTTGAAAAGCTCGTCGATAGTAAATAGCACTATCCAGCATGATAAAAGTGGAGTTCCATCTAGTTGGAACATCTTGTCGCAAACCTCTCTTCCCTTATAGACAGCTTTGTTTGATACAATCAACAAACTTCTGCTTCCTCACTTGAGAGTCTTTTACATACTTAATGCTCTCTCGAATTTTAATTACTGATAAATTAACCTCCTTCAGACCATCTTGAACTATGAGATTCACAATATGTGCAGTACAACGAATATGAAAGAACTCACCATCACAAAATAAAGCACCACGTAAACATAAATGATTTCTTAAAAATTCAATTAAAGTATTGTTTGCCGACACATTAGCCAAAGTAATGCTAAAAAATTTGGTATCAATTTTCCACTCCATAACAAAAGATTGTAACTTTTCAAACAATGAAATGCTATCATGAGGGGGTGGCATCAAATAAAAGCTGATAATCTTTTTTTGCAAATGCCAATCCTTATCTATAAAATGCATTGTCAAACAAATAAAATCATCTGTATTAATAGAAGTCCAAAGGTCTGAAGTTAAGCACACCCTACTTGTTAAATTTGCTAACTGTGAACGTATATTACTCTTCTCTTTAATAAATAATTTCATACAATCACTTCGTGCGGTGTTTCTTGAAAACAACTGTAAGTCTCGACGAAGATAAGTTAGAAGAGCTCGAACTTCAACCCACTCAACACATTGAAATGACAAGTCATGCATAATGATACATGCAATAAACATGTCATGAAATTCTGACTGATCAAACTTACTATCAGTCATAGAAATGGAGGATTCATAGTTTGTTTGTAAAATGAGTTGCCCAATATCACGCATATTTTTTTTTACAATTTTCCAAGTGCCGTATTAGATTCGCAGTGCCATTTTTGCTATCACAAAAATATGTCACATCACATTTCTTGCATTTACACCTTTGCTTACCATTTTTTGGCTTAGGCAACATCTCAAAGTAACCTCAAACAACCGATGTCATTCTTCTCCGTTTCCTAGCAACTTCACCTCCTTCATTACATTGAATGTTATATGGCTCTAACTCTACCATATTTTCAGATGGACCAACTTCTTCATTTTCATCAATACAAACATTATCATCAATGGTATTAGAGCTCTCCATCTATCAGAAATATAACAAGACATCACAAAAAAATGAAAAAAACTACATGATGCCTAACGACTAACTGCATAAAAAAACCAGTAAATAATAAGTTAATAACCATAACAAAAATGAAAAAAAAAAAAATACAAGATGCCCTAAGTGTCTCAATGACTCAAAGCTTCTGGCATCTGCAAAAGTTCAAACCGGGCTAAACTAGAGAGTAGAGAAAAATCAATATGTTGGTTAACACCGTTGCCAATAATATTTGCACAAATCATTAAAACCCTGGCCGAAATAAACCCTAGCAGAGAAATAGATTTCACGGTATAACTTCAACTTCCAAAAATCTCAACACCATCGCAGAGAAATAGAGAATAAATCAATAAATGATAAAATGAAGAACACAAAATATCAAAACCTTAAACCTTCATCTTCTAAACTATCAAAAAATACTAATATATAGAGTAGAAACGAGATACAAAAAGTGAAGCATATTAGGGAATGTGTGAATCAAAAGTCTGAAACGTAAGCGTAGACGTCGTCGTGCCGACGAGATGAGTAGACTCGATGACAGCTCTAGCACCGGAGAGGTGGAGAGGTGGAGACTGGAGAATCAGAAACCCTAAACAGAAGCCAGGAGACGGAATGAGAGTTACGAGATTATGGCCTCGCTCGTCGCTCGACGCCCGCATTATAAGTTATAATTTATTAAACCGCGC